GTTTGGTTGGGTTATTATTTTTTTAAATTTTTTAATTATAAAACATTTTATAATTTAAAATTTTTTTTCTTTAAATTTTTTTTACCCAAACTCTACATTTTTTACCCCCCCCCCCCCCCCCCCCCACACACACACACATACACACAGAGAGACACATATATATCTCAATCCACCTTCCCCTTTCCTTTTCCTTTTATTTTCCCTCTCCTCCCACCACTACTACCAGTACTGCTCTCCCCTAACTCGTCGTCCTCCTCAAACCGAAAACTAAAATCCACGACCCCAACTAATCCGCTAACGGCCCTCACCAGCCCGCTCAAATCATCACAAACCAGAGTCGTGCACACCTGAAGGACGGCAAACTCTGCGTAACCGGGTTGTTCCATATTTTTGGGATCTAATAGCTCCGCAGCTGCTTTTGCTTGCCTTTTGTTTTTGTCGTTGTCATTGCCGTACGAGTGGTCATAATCATCTTGACCTGTGCGGGAGTTGACGAGGTGGATAGGGGAGAGGTCTGTGATTTTCTCGTCTCCATCTTCATTTTGATTATTAGAGTGGTGGCCAAGCCGCATCAAACGACGGGTTAATTCGTATGGTTTAGGTAAGGGTAAAAAGGGCGGTAAGCTCTGGCCTGATAGGAGGGAATTGGAAAGTAGTGTGAGAGTGGAGAGGATGGTGTGATGGGTTGGTTTCAGTGTTGTCAGGACTTTGGTCATTGCGTCTAGCCATTCTCTGCTTTGGCTGGATGCTACGGAGGGCGTGCGTGGGGGTAGTTCTTCATCGTTTCCGGTCTCCTCTTCTGAGATCTTGGAAAATGTTTGTGTAGGATGCATAAGAGTGTAGCTGATCAGCGTGAGATAAGCCATTATGCGCGTACTGCGAAGAATAATATCGTCGTAGGCTTCCCTGGGGAACTTGCCACCTATCGTGGGCTCCCATCTCTGCCATTCCGAGTGCTGAGACATTGACGGGATGAGCATCATCACTTTACCAAAGATCTTGCGGCCGATCTTGTGAAGGTGATGGGCTGGTGTTCCCGGCGTGGAGATATCACCTGCTGTGCCGTCGAGGTTTGAGCGGAGAGTCGAGCTGATGACGCCGAAGTAGTTGGCCACGAGGTAGAGGGTTGCTGATAGGTCTCGCCGCAGCCAGGTGCGGTCTGTGAGCGGGGAAGGGAAGATGGTCCAGAAGAAGGCTACCAAACTACCGCCGGCTACACAGGCCAGACGGTAGGAGGCAAGAAGGTAGGTGGGATAAAACGGCTGACCGGTCCGTTCAGAAAGCTCTCGACCGATTGTTACGGTTTGGAGCTCATACCCGATGATCAGAACCTGAGTGACGATGATGATCATTATGGCCGGGATGAAGCGAGGAAATTTGAGGAAGAAGTAATAGTCGATAAAGGTGAAGAACCACAGAAAGACTATGGCTCCCGCAGTTCGGCCGTTGACAACGTACCAGATGATGAGAGAGAAGACCATGGCAACAACTGTTCCTCCAACTCTGCACAGGAAGCCAAAAAATGACTGGCCTGAAGTCATGGTCATGCCAATGGCAATGATGATCATGGCCCAAACAAGACGTTGTTCCTGGAAGAATCGCTGTGTGCTCTCCAAGAATGCGATAATTCCAACCGTCATGGTAGCACACGCAACTCTGAATCCAAACATGGACTCCTCAGACCCAAAGAACTTGGATATCTTCCGCAGTCCGTTCCCAAACCGCTCCCAGGCCGTGGCAGGAGGGAGGTGTTCTGGGTCCCTCTTCAGGTTGTAGCCGTCCCCGAAGGAGACAATGGTGTTGCTGGTCTCCATAAGATCAGGGCTCTGCTCGGCGGACGAGTCTTCATTGCTTAGCACGGCCATGAACCACTTGCGCAGGCGGTGGGATCCCGGCGCAATAAGTCTGCTTCTGCACATGGTCCCGTCTTGGACCTTTCTGTCGGCAAATGCAACCAGTTCCTGAACCGCTTTCCCAGATGCGTGCATCAGATTTTCCATGTAGAGAACAATATAAAGTTGCGCCTGATCGCGCTCTTTCCCATTTGGCCAGTATGACGACGGACTGTTCTCCATATCGTCTTCATCCCTCGGGGCCGGGTTGAAGCCCCTTTCCTTGACCCACGTGCTCAGTATTTCCCCTTTTCTGGAATTGAAGGCTTCAATCTTTTCATTGATCACATTCGCCAGGGCTGGGTCCCCAGGAGCAATCTTCTCTCCTCGAGCCTCTACATCGGTATCATTCTTCTTTGCCTTTTTCGGTTTTGGGAGTATCTCCAGACAGATACCGGCATGCTCGAGACCCTGATCGATTGCCTCTGACAGAATCTCAAATGGTTCGTGCATCTGCTTCATGACCTCGTTCCAGATGCGTTTCTCTCGTTCTTTGTCGGCAATTACCTCATCTGGCACGTCGTCCTCGTCGAGGTCCCAACCGCGGTGCTCGGATACGCGCTTGAAGATATCGACAATGGTCATCATGCCGAGTCTGGATCTGATGTTAGCGGGAGGTTGAACGGGGGGAAAGAACGGGAAAGCCTTACACTGGAATGTAGACATTGCGAATCAGGGTAAATATTTCACTGATTTCCTTTGCATCAAGCTTTCCCCACGCAAAGTCCCGCTTAGCAAAGGGGACATCAGCATGAAGTTTGCCTGCAAGCTCTCTTAGCTTGCCTCCAGTCTCCCTTAGGGCTTTGGCTGCCTTTTCTTCCTTGGTCAGCCTTGGCTTCTCCCCTCCTTCGAGTGCAGCTCGCGTGTTTGTCCTTGTCACGGTGGCAAACATGTCCTCTGACTCTATACTGACCAAGTACGCCTTTTGGAGCGAAACCGTTTTCCGGAGAAGGCCAATGGCCCCTTCGAACTCTTTGAAGACGACCAACCGGCTGCTGATGGGGAACACGAACAGGTTCACCCCCAAACACAGCGCGAGGGAAACCAGCATGGCAGTCATCAGCTGCTTGACGAAGGACTGGGCAGTGTTGACGCTCGTCATGAAGGGGCCGTTCGTTGCTGCCACGTTCACAAGGATGCTGTAGACGATGACGGGGAGGTTGAAGGCGGGTAGCTTAGCGCGGACAACGTTGCCAAGCCAGATGTTGAAGAAAAGCCATACGCCACACACAGCTGATTGACTGGAATTGTATCTCGGTATTGGTGTAGGTTGGGTTCCCGGTGGTGTCGTATGCTCGCGGGCTTTGATGGCCGACCAGAGAGTCAACATGGATACGGCAGAGCCAAAGCAGACGGCCAGGACATTGAGTACTAAGCTCATCAAGAACTTGCCCCTGGGCAGAACGGCTAAACCGAGGATCGTGACTATGGGTATGAGATAACCCAATGTGATGAAGTAGGATGATACGACCGGCGCTTGGTACATGGCAATGCCAATGGTTGGGGGAAGGGAACCTCTTGTTGGCGCATGCAAAAGTCAGCCAATTAAAAGGGGTTGAAGAGTTGGGAATGGTCAATTTCTCACTTGAACATGGTGATAAGTGTCGGCGCATCAAGTCCCAACTTTGCAAAGACACGAGACAGCAGTCCAGGTTTCTTCCCCGTCGACCCTCCATCTTCGGGTTCGTTTTCATCGTCACCTGCATTGCCGGATCTTGGATCCAAGCAACTGGTCCTTTGCTTCTTGAGGTTGTTGCTCGTGGTAGCTTCAGTCTCCAAACTGTACGGTGTTTCGGTCTGTTCTCCCGGGGTCTCAATCGCATTCTGCTGGTGCCTTCCTGCATCTGCATCTGCTCCCGTACCCGCACCGGCACCCGCAGCTGTGTCGTTCATGGCATGGAGGTGATGGCAATTATTTACCAAAACCGATGGTTACAGAAAAAAAGGGAAATGAAAATAAACATCGGTCAGAGATTGAGACTTTCATCGTGGGCAATCAAGACGGAAACGATCGGCACGAACCAATTATCGACCGGTTTGGGGTTCACAGGCCTGTGCAGGTTGTCGGGATGGGATGATGGATGCAAGTTGCTTAGACTGCGTCATGGATTCGGCTTTCAGCGACCCTCGGGTGGATATTTGGTGGGGTGTCCTAGTGGAGAAGCCGATGGGACGCAGGAACTGTTCATGAACAACATTTGGATGCAACACTCGCAGCACCACCGTCCGTGCTGTGGTTTCCATCCGCCAACATCATCATCAAGCAAGCCACCCAAACCACACAATCCACCACAACCACAATCACCACCGACTAGAGAGTATATAGATCCAAAATTTGAGACGAGCCAATGTCCTCGTAGCGAAGTGGTTACGCGCCTGCTGCTTAGCGTTGTTGTCTTCAGCGTTGCTTTTCGGACAGCGATAAGAGCGGGAAACGTCAGTTCGAACCTGACCGAGGACACATCACACATCACATATCTTTTTCATTTTATTATAGATCCATCTACTTACTATGTCTTGGTGACTGCTGGGGCGCGGGTTCACTACGCGAATCGTCAGTTGCCGTGATTTTTGAAAGAGAGAGAGATGTCAACGCTGCGGAAGCAGCACCCGACAAAAGCCCTAGCTTCCACACCCAAGCCCAATTGGATCACTCAACCGCCACCACCTCCAGACTGCAGCTCAGTGCCCACGATCCAGAGAACACACACACTTGTTCTCCTCCTGCTGCCCTCTCGGATGCGACTCTGGATGCCTTCAGATTGAGGACAAGTCTGCAAATTTGGCATCACTTTTTCTCAAGTATAAATATCTCACCTTTTCACTATCCTTCAATTCTCTTTCCTCTTCTCCTTACCTGTCTCTGCCCAACCAGGCTAAGATCAAGTGTAGTATCTGTTCTTCTCAAGTTTAACCGCTTGGGACCTCTTTGTTGTTTTTTTCGAGTCCAAGAAAAAGGCACACCCCCAATTTTTGTCATTTGGAAATTCCTCCCGCTGAGCACATCTCATGGAGGATTTTCCACAGTGTCCCTGGTCTTACACTGTCTCCAGGCGATGCGAAACATCCATTTTCCATTTTCCCTTTTCTTTGTCAAAATTCCTTCATTGCGATTCTTGGACTTGTTTTCGAGATGCGAAGAGGGGGTCAAGACCTTGCGGTCGAAACAAATCGGGCAAAACAGTGGGCTGGGCTGGGTTGTGGGCGTGGGCGGTCGCATGCTTTGCCAAGGAATTAAATGGGAGCTCCCGTCTTTGGGCAAGCAATCACCTACATCAATCACCTGCCAAGCAAGAAACGGGACGTGGGGTGTCGGTGGGATGACAGACAGACAGACGAGAAGGGCGGTCGTCTTCGGAGATCGACAACCAGGGCCCCACCATTTCGATGTTCGATCTTGGCCCTGACAATGAATGGGTCGTTGACCACGCCGGACAGACCCGGATCGACAAAGTTGGATATGGCTTCACAAAAATGTCATTTCGGGAATCCATGGCTGGCTGGATTTCTGTCCATCGCCACCTTATGCGGGCAACCAGATGTACTCGCCCTGCCCTGTTGCACAGTTCCCGGACTGCATCCGGATTCATAACCAATATGGATTACATGGCGCATGACGACTGCAGCAAGACTGCAGCAAGACATACCCATCGCTATTCGATCAGGGACGGTAACACAAGTGTTGTCTGCATCTGATTTGACAATCGAATTTTTTCTGTGTAATTACTGCAGCTTATTTTGGTAAGAAATATTGGACCATCTCACACCCGTTTCAGAGTCGGTGAAGAGCGTGCGGCGCGGGGGCATATCTTCCCCCCCCTCTTCTTTTTTTCTCCTCGGGCTGGCTGCCCTCGACCCCTTCGACTCTGATTCGAACCAGCGGCCTCACCCATTCGGATGACCACACCACATTGGTAGTTCTAGAAGGGATCTTCTTCTTCTTCTTCCTGGGCTAAATAGTTATTCCAGTCACCAACCCCTCCTTTTTTACCCCCTTTTCTCTTTCCCCTTTTCTTTTCCTCGAGTGTCTTCCAGAGCATCTCTGTCAGCGGCACAGCAAAAGCTTGACCCCCCGTCTCTCGCGGCACAACTCCAACTCTCAACTCCAAGCCACGGCACAACTCCTCTTTCTCCAATACCACTTCAACTCCGCCGCAACACCCACAAAATGCCAACCTACCACACTCCCCCACCAACACCGCCACCCCTTCTCTCCCAGCAACCCTACAGAAGTCCCTCGCGCTCTCGATCCCAATCCTCCCGCTCAGTAACCTTCTCTGAACCTCCCTCACTCAAATCATCCTCCTCATCCTCATCCAAACATGGCGCCAAAAAGAACGAACCCCATCACTCTCAAAAAGTGCCCCTAGTCTTCCTGGGCTCTATAGCAGCCGCCTCCCTCATCGCCCACAAGTACTGGCCCAAAGGCTACCCCTACGGCGAGAAGGAAGACTGGGAGCTGTCCAAGCACGCCCGAAAACTCAAGGAAGAGAAATTGGCTCGCAAAGCCGAGCGGGACCGTTCTCGTTCTCGCTCCAGGTCAAGAGACCGTGGACGTGAACGGGATTATCTCCCTCCTCCTCCTCCTCATCCTCGTCGTGGACCGCCACCCACAGCTTACTACGCCCGCACATCATCAGAGTACTCATCCGAAACGGAATCAGATGTTTATTCCACCGCGTCGAGCAGAGGAAGGCATTTATCCAGGGAGACCATCACGGATATGAATACCACCCTGAACAAAGGAAACGCGGTGAGGCCTCAGCGCCGCCGGTCGAGGTCGAGGTCGAGGTCGCGTTCTGTTTCTCGTCGCGAGGAGGATAATGGGGATCGGGATCGGTATTACCTCCCCCATCCGCCTCCTCAGCGCTCGGCTACTGCCATCCCCACTCCGACGAGACATTCAAACCCCGAGTTTGGAAGTAGCACGCTCCGGCCGGCGCGGTATATCACTGAACCGCCTGTGTATGCAAGGACTGAGGTGTTGGTCGGACGGACTGCTGTGGCTGCGCCTTCTGCGACGTCGGTTGTGTCGTCCGGTGGGAGCGGAAGCGCTGGGAGCAGGTTTTACGGAGAGGAGGCGTCGGGTATGGGGTCCGAGGTTGTGTACGTTTATAGGGAGCCGTCCGGTGCGAGGGCTAGGAGGGCTTCGATTGGCGGCGGCACGGGAAATGTGAAGAGGTCCGAGTATGTGAGGGATGAGTGGGGGTATAGATGATTTGGGGGGATGTTTATCGCTTTGGGGTAAGGAAAGAAAAAAGAAGACACAGACAGGGAGTTTGTTGCTGGCTTAATGGTTGAACAAGGGGGCGTTTAGCAAGTCCTTTTTTTCTTTTTGTTTTGTTGCTGTTTGCGCTGTTATTATTTCCTTTCCTTTGTCTGTTTCTGCTGAGCCATTTTTTTTATAGGAAAATTGTTTCTTTGGCTTTTTTGGCTTTTTGCCTTTTCTTACCTCTATCAATAATGGGATGTCATGATACATGTTTTATGACATGATGATTGTGATGACTTGGGAGATTGGATCAGTGCTACATGAAACGGACACATAATAGGCAAAGTTGGAGCAAACTAGGGGAGACGGATATATTTGTTCGTGTGATCGTAACCGTTAGTTCTTGCACAGCACATGAACTTTATTTTTGTCTATTTTTGTCTTGGTATCTTCTGCCAAAAGAGCTGTTATCTATTTCGTAGTATATATATGCTAAAGTATCTGTGCTCTTATGGGGGGGGGGGGGGGGGGGGGGGGGGGGGGGGGGGGGGGGGGGGGGGGGGGGGGGGGGGGGGGGGGGCGGGGG